AATTAAGTCTTGGTGCCTCTTCTAGTACGTAGTAGGATTTCAGGCTAATTGATGTTTTTCAGGATCTGGTTACATTTGCCTTAGCCTAGCCACGATCTATCGCATTTTTATCAGGCAAGAAATAATGTATTTCTCCAGCGGTAGCAACAAATTACCGCAACGTCAATTTGCAATAATAGGAAATGTTAAGAAACTTACAAAACTGTTCGTCAATGTTTTGTACAAAATTCGAAGACTAGTCTTCTTTAGTACCAACATGCGTACATTAACGCATAAGCAAATTCTACAAACTTCACTAACGGCCATTCCTGTTTCCATTAGCTTTAATATAATTAAATTCACTTTTTCAGCAATAAACCCGAGTTTCCAAAAATATTACAATTAGAGATGGGTAACTCAGGAGAGATAGATACAAAAGATATGAATCAATCCGTTTCCATCAATCACTCTTTATATCCGTCCGCATCCGAATGTATCACTGTATCAGTATATCTTTACAACTTATTCACTCAAGACATCTTTTAACTTTTTCTAACATCTGTGTCGCACATTGCGCAGTGCGCACACTGCTTTCTATTATACCTCGGCCGGCACGGCCGGTCGTTCCAGGAAGATTTCGGAAAGTCCATAGTACAGACGTTTCTTTCGCAGGTCACTATTTAGAATGTTCTGTCGCGCTTTGGCAAGACGGAGAGAGTGAGTTGTTTGACCATTATAAACTGTAATACGTTAGTACAAAAAGGTAAATTGATAACTCTATGACTGGTGCATAGGGCTTAAAGTCATTAAGCGGTACGTTATCATTTAAGTATTATACTGGTTTGAACTGTACCTATGTGTACTTTGCCTATATTTTTTTTAGTAAACAATGCAAACTAATTTCAGTTATAAAACCATAGTCTTTAAGAAAGTTTTATAATCGAAATTTATAGTCGTTTATATCCATAAAAAAGTAGAAAAAAGATTTGTGATTTACAAAATTAAACAAATTTATCAGTTTGCTTCATTACTTCAACCTTAATCTCGGTTTGGGAACGAGAGTAATATTGATTGCGTTAATTGCATCGAATAGAAAAATATTTGAAGTTGTTTTGTACATAGTGACTGTTTAATTTAAATGTAGGTAAATAAGACATTCAGTGTAAATAGTTTAAAGTGTTTTTTGTTCTGTACGTACAGTTAGTGAATGTTTCATTTAAGTGTAAATAATTTTGCGTAGTTAGTGTTTTATTAATAAAAAAAATGGGTTCACGAAAACGAAGCGCAGTGTGGAATCATTTTGAGGAAGTAGAACCAAAAAAAAGCAAAATACCTTTATTTTGCGAACATGCTAAATGTACCCGCTGGAAATTGTGGTAATCTTCCCCACAGTACCCCTCGTAGCTAAAAGACAGCCAACTCAGCAGGCATGTTTTCAAGAAGCCGAAACTATATAATATATATTTTCTACAAATTAATACAAACAATACCTATCCTACCTACGTTATTTACGTTAATCATTAATTTAATTATTATTTTAAACTAAAAATTTAAGTTAATTTCTCGAATAAGTGCCTATTAATATTTATCAATCATAACAATAACAGCGCTCGCTGTAAAGTTCACAGTACGCAAGCAACCCGGGTTCGATCCCCGCCGGCACCAATGAAATAGTTAATTGCAATTTTAAGTGCTGATTTACCACGTGCTCGGCGATGAAGGAAAACATCGTGAGGAAACCTGCATGTGTGAGAAATAGGAAAACTTTAATTTTTTTATCATAACAAATAGATACCTAGAAAGAAATAACAGCCAAATATATCAGAAAGATACACAATGTTACAACCAAGCAAAATGCAAACAGCCTATGATTGTAATTTACAATCATAGACTTAGGCATAGATAAATATATATGTAGCAAGCTAGACTTAGGCAGGGGGTGAAACTTCAATACATACATAACACTGAAATTTTGAGTGTTGCCTAAGCGCCAGTCCAGTCTTTAGGACGCCGACATGCAACTTGAGTAAAAGTTTTATATAACGTTCTAATAGATAGCGTTGTTACTGGTTGTTTTTTTTTTGGAGTTTATGGCGTGGTATCTAGACCTTTAGGCCAAGTCTTAAGTATTTTTGTTCGGTTTATTGTAATTTCCCCACTCCTTCATAGTATACTGCTTCACAATATGTTGATGCGTCACATTGTGCGGGAAATTGACCGGCGGCGGTTTGCTGCTCCTGTATTATTGTTTAAATAATGGTTTAAAGTGGACTTTGATATGTATAAGTGTTGCGATTTTGTGTATTAAGTGTCTACGCATGTGAACTATTAGTGGAAACAGTGAAACAAGTGCTCTGATGGTGATGGATTCTCAAGATAAGCTGTTTGTTTGCATAGGCAACTTTAGATACCATCGCCAACTATCAGCTCTCTGCTGGATCAAGTTGCCGCCAAAATCTCCCAAGAACTGCACAATGTGACGCATCAACATATTGTGAAGCAGTATACTATGAAGGAGTGGGGAAATTACAATAAACCGAATAAAAATACTTAAGACTTGGCCTAAAGGTCTAGATACCAGGCCATAAACTCCAAAAAAAAAAAGGCCGACAGAAAAGTTTTGAATTATCAAATATCAAGCCCTTTCTGTGTTTTGGTGTTTGCGTCTTGAAGATTGTATTAGTGATTTCTTTTATTTTAACGACTTGGTATTGCTTACGGTCTCTGGATTTTTCTACTGCATCTGTAAACTCGGCACCTAATACGGACTTTGGATTTTCTACTGCTACGCACGACATTGACATTGAATTGGAAGAGTTATGTTAATTGTGTTTTGTTTTTGTTTTCTATTATTGCGAAATTTACAATAAAACTATAAATAAAAATATAATAAACTAAAAAAATACATTTTTATTAAAGCCTATTTGGTAGTGATTTTTTAAATGTTTTCAAATAATATTATAAGTTAATCATAAAAATTTTAATTCTGGTTATGGCAACTTTTGACAATTAAAGGCCGACAGAAAGGGGTTTTGGCGGGAAATTGACCGGCGGCGGTTTGCTGCTCCTGTATTATTGTTTAAATAATGGTTTGAAGTGGACTTTGATATGTAAAAGTGTTGCGATTTTGTGTATTAAGTGTCTACGCATGTGAACTATTAGTGGAAACAGTGAAACAAGTGCTCTGATGGTGATGGATTCTCAAGATAAGCTATTTGTTTGCATAGGCACCTTTAGATACCATCGCCAACTATCAGCTGTCTGCTGGATCAAGTTGCCGCCAAAATCTCCCAAGAACTGCACAATGTGACGCATCAACATATTGTGAAGCAGTATACTATGAAGGAGTGGGGAAATTACAATAAACCGAATAAAAATACTTAAGACTTGGCCTAAAGGTCTAGATACCAGGCCATAAACTCCAAAAAAAAAAGGCCGACAGAAAAGTTTTGAATTATCAAATATCAAGCCCTTTCTGTGTTTTGGTTTTTGGTGTTTGCGTCTTGAAGATTGTATTAGTGATTTCTTTTATTTTAACGACTTGGTATTGCTTACGGTCTCTGGATTTTTCTACTGCATCTGTAAACTCGGCACCTAATACGGACTTTGGATTTTCTACTGCTACGCACGACATTGGCATTCATTTAGGATTTTGGCTTGTCCTGTGACTTTCTACATTTGACTACGTAATGCCTACGAAATTGTGTTATTTTGGCTGTAAGCTGGATGGTAAATTATTGCGTAAATGAATATTCTGTCTTAATTTGCTATTAGATTACAATAACGAACTCTTATTTATTTTCAGTACCTATGCATCATTTTCCAAAACCTGGCTATCATTTTTTTTTTTTTATAGGAGAGGGGGCAAACGAGCATGCGGCTCACCTGATGGTAAGTGACTACCGCCGCCCATGAACAACTGCAACACCAGGGGAATCGCAGATGCGTTGCCGGCCTTTTAAAAAGGAGTACGCTCTTTTCTTGAAGGTCCCTAAGTCGTATCGGTCCGGAAAAATCGCTGATGGTAATCCATTCCACAAGGAGGTCGTGCGAGGAAGAAAACATCTGGCTTAGCTTTCCATTGACGTCAGTGGAGTTTGGTGTTGATACGTATTTTTACAGAAAGAATACACTATTATAAGCACACACACAATGTCTCAATATACGGAAACGCGTAATTTTTTAGAAAAGAATAATTGAAAATCAATTATTCTTGCAATGTTTACGTCTAATTTGCTAATAAACTGGCGCCATTTTGTAATGTCATTGTCGACGTCAATAGGGATGTCGATTCTTTCCGAAAAAGGTCGATTTTTAAATCGATTCAAATCGTAAGCGGTTCACAAAACATCGATTTCTAAAATGTCTATATTTTTTTAATGTTTCTATTTATAATGTAAATATAAACCCATTTTATGAAAAACAAGAAAGATACCATGATAAATGATCTCTTATTGAAATTTGTTTTATTTAACAGTACCTATTAGGGCAGATAACAAATAAAATAGGTTAGGTTCAACTTATGTCAAAGAACCGAATTGATTGACCCCGACTCCACCTGGTACGAGTCTGTCCTACCCCTAGAGTGGTTTTATAGAGCCGGAGGCGCGTAGGGGGAGCAGCCTCCGCCTGCTGTAACAAATCGTAGGCATCGGACGAGCCGGAGCGGCCGAGGCTGGTCGCCAAAGGCGACCAACAAGCCGAAGCTGCGGAGGCGAGGAGGGATGCCTGCGATTTGTTACGCTAAGGCGTAGAGGTTGCTCTTCCCGCAGCGCCGGAGACGTAGCAGTCTCAAAATAGATACAGAAATCCTTATGAATCAGTCCCCTTATTTTTTTCTCATAAAATGAATTTATATTTACATTATAAATGCAAACATGAAAAAAATATCGATATTATAGAAATCGATTTTTTAGGAATCGATACATCAGCTTACGATTTGAATCGATTTAAAAATCGACCTTTTTCGGAAAGAATCGACATCCCTATTGACGTCGACAATAACATTACAAAATGGCGCCAGTTTATTAGCAGTCTCCGCTAGGAGTAAAGTATTCTGTGATTAGCAGATTAGACATAAACATTGCAAGAATAATTGATTTTCAATTATTCTTTTCTCAAAAATTACGTGTTTCCGTATATTGAGACTTTGTGTGTGTGCTTATAATAGTGTAATCTTTCTGTAAAAATACGTATCAACACCAAACTCAACTGACGTCAATGGAAAGTCGTACCAAACATCTTCTAAATCGCACAGTGGTGGACCGCCAATCATCCAGATGGTGTCGATGGTATCGGGAGTTCTGCCGCGATGTGCGTTCGTGAAATTTGGCGGCTGGGATTAATCCGAACAATTCCTCAGAGCACTCCCCATGGTAGATGCGAAAGAAAATGCAAAGGGATGCAACATCTCTTCGCAGTGCCAATGAATCGAGCCGATCGGAAAGGGCTCGGTCGTTGACAATTCGAGCCGCTCTGCGTTGGATGCGGTCAAGTGGAAGGAGCTGGCACTGGGGAGCCCCTGCCCAGAGATGGGAACAGTATTCCATGTGAGGCCGAACTTGCGCCTTGTAAAGTAGCAGGCGGTGTGCCGGCATGAAATACTGTCCCGCTCTGCTGAGCACGCCAAGCTTTTTAGAGGCCAATTTGGCCTTCCCTTCCAAGTGACCACGAAACTGCACGTCACTCGATATGTCGACTCCGAGGATACCGATACTGGCTGAGGCAAGAAGGGGAGTGCCTTGAAACTGAGGAGATACGACAAAGGGGTTCTTTTTAGTGGTAAACGCGCAAACTTGTGTCTTCTGAGGATTAAATTGGACTAAATTTAGTCGCCCCCAATCCGAGACTTTGTTCAGCAAAGACTCGACTTCAGACACAAGTTTTTTCCGGTACTCAGCGACGTTTTCCCGAGAAATATTGGCACGGCCGGTGTATAGAGCATCACCAGTGCTGTCATCCGCATAGCAATGAATGTTACCAGTTAGCAACATATCATTGATATGCAGAAGAAACAGCGTTGGTGATAGCACACAGCCTTGTGGAACACCAGCGTTAATAGGCTTGTAGTCAGAGCATGCACCGTCTACAACGACCTTGATGCTCCGATCTGCAAGGAAGCTGGTGATCCAATTGCACAATTTCTCGGGAAGCCCATAGGAAGGGAGCTTCGAAAGAAGCGCTTTGTGCCAAACCCGATCGAAGGCCTTCGCAATGTCCAGACTAACGGCCAACGCCTCCCCCTTGGACTCTACTGCCTCCGCCCATCTATGGGTCAGGTAGACCAGAAGATCACCAGCTGATCGACCCCGACGAAAACCGTATTGGCGGTCACTAATCAGCTGGTCTCATAACGAAGCTAGGTTTAATATGTGGTTGGCAGTATTGTCTGAGGAAACGAAGCTCAGAGGAACTTCATATATATTAACCACTGTGAAATGTCTACATATGTGACAGGCATTTTGAACAAAATTTTCGCACTGTTGGAAGATGGCTTACTGCTAATAGTTATTCCACTTTAAATTTATGTTAGTATAAAACAGTATGTTGCTTGCTTTCTGGATAAGTAGGTATGTAGTGCAGAACAGTAGTTTCTGTGTAGTGGTGATAGAGAATCGACTAGCCCTGTATAATAAAAACTGTTGTTGGTAATCTGCCGCCCGCAAATGACTCATTGGTTACCTCCAAATAGAACCACATTGCTTTACAAACAGGAAACTTGAACTCAAATCCCTCATTAGATGAAACTTTGTAAGATGCATTAGAATTTTTTAGGGTTGAAAAGCAGTTTATATATATAGTATGTCAATGTGTTCTCTTTTAATGCTCATGGGCACATACTTCAACGCAATTGCTACTGAGTGGCACTTCTGTTCTTCGATTTTTAAATTAATTAGTATTTAATTAGTAAAAGCATTTGTCAATTAATATTTTTGGCAACTTTTGTTCAAGTATATTTTTTCAGAAACTTCACCAAAGGCATCTTCTTCAAAGGATGCATACCAAATTAGTAAACTGACTAAACCTCAACAACAAAGAGGTAAGTGAAAATGTATTAAGTAATATATTTATCATGTCTGATGAATAGAAATTGACTGTATTATGAAATATTATCTTATAATAACATGAAATAAAATACCTAGGTTGGGACATGTTGCACTCCCACTAGGAAGGATTTTAAGTCACAGGTCATAGTATATTTTGTAAAAGGAAATTGAATGACTGACATTGAAGAGGTTTTTTTGTATATCTTTTAACAGAAAAATAACTTTTTATTTTGCTTGATTTCAGGTGGTAGTAAGAAGAAAGTCTTTTACACAGAAAAAATTAAAAATTCTAAGACTTACCAACAATTAAAAATGAGATTGTTGAAATACCAAAATAAGTGCAAAGATATTAAAAAGTCCTGCCGTGTAGCAGAGATGATATGCAAGAATGATAGCCTAATAAATGTAATTGATAAACTGCCAAAAACAATATTGACTTTTATGAAACTTCAATTGAAGTCTACAGAAGCCAAGAGGCAGAAAGTTTACTCTAAAAGAGAAAATTTTTGCATTATCGATATTAAAGCAAAGAGCTAGGGCTTATAACTTCTTAACCAAAATTTTGATACTACCATCAAAACGTACTCTACAGAAAATCCTTAAAAATATAGTGATTGAACCAGGATTGAACGAAAACATACTAAATAATTTAAAGAAAAAAGTGGATAAAATGACACCTGAACAAAGGCTATGTAACTTAATGTTTGACGAGATTGCTTTAACTCCTGTTTTATATTACAATAGGAGTATTGACCAGATAATAGATTTTGAAAAAAATACTGTGAAAATTGCAGACCATTGCCTTGTTTTCATGATAAAAGGGATAAAGAGCAAGTACAAACAGCCAATTTGTTACCAGTTCTGCCAAAGTGCAACTAAAAGCCATATATTAAAAGCATTAATTATTGATATAATTAGAAGATTAAGAGAATGTGGCTTAATTATAGTCGCTACAATTTGTGACCAAGGCACATCAAATGTATCTGCAATTAATTCTCTTATAAAAGATACGAAAGAAAAATATTTAAGGCATAACAAAGTCTACAAAAGCAGTGTAATAGAAATTGATGATACACCATTATTTCATATTTATGATCCTCCCCATTTATTAAAGGGACTAAGAAATAATTGGATTAATAAAAATATAAGATTCATTTTTAATGGGGAAGTCATGATGGCAAAATGGGAACATTTAAAAATGCTTATGCGTTAATGTTGAAGAAGATGATTTAAGAATGTTAAACAAATTAACAATTCACCATGTGCAAAAAGATAAATTGCCTAAAATGAAGGTGAAGTATGCAGCCCAAGTTTTCAGTCAAAGAGTTGCAGCTACAATGAATTTTTTAGCAAGTAAGTTACTCATAGTTTAAATAAATATGTGGGTTAAAATGTGGTCATTATGAAATAACATAAAATATAATAATAGAATATTATAAATGTAAAATTTTACCTTATTTAATTACTAGTTTTTATTTATTTGAAAACTGGTGCATATACTCTTGAATTAAAATAATAGGATATCCAATTTTTATGTTTAAAAAATTTACCCATAAGGTTAATGTAAGATGAGAGTGCAAAGATTGTATGAAAAATATTATATTAAGACACACAATCCATACCACAACAAAGAAGCGTGAAATAATGACAATAGATCATTATATAAAAATTATTAAATAATTTTTTTTTCTTGAATATTGGTTACATAATACCGCGGGCGAAAAGCTAGTAGTATATATATCTCATACATAAAAAATAATGTTTGTTTGTATTTTATGGGCTGCCATACCATTCATCAGATTGCGCTAATACTGTCAACTTATTGTTTGCACTTGTGAGAAGATTATAGGCATAGTACAATTAACTTACAGTGGGTGGCGCATATCGTATCGACAAAATTATTCAGTTTCAATGAATATATCATCATTCCTAATTAAACGGTATAACTCTTCCAAATTTAAAATTATATTTGTAGAATAATTTCTTCTGTGGCTGCAACTTGCCGGGTACCAGCAAGTAATATATGTTCCTTCCTTAGCTGTTAGGCTGTTGTAGCTTAAATGTTTATTTTTAATGTCTTAACAAACTAGCCTATGTATGTATAAACAAATAACAACCGGTTATACTAGCACTAGTTAATATTGTTTTTGCTTTACAGGTAACAAAGCATTGCCAGAGGAATGCAGAGGAACATCTTTATAAATATAATTGATCAGCTGTTCGACTCATTCAACGGATCAAAGTACAAGGACGACGCAAAACCTTTAAAAGGATGTCTAAAAAGAAACTCTGCGCATTTTAAGAAGTGGAACGAATTTTTACCAATTTTGCAGTCAATAGGGTTTGAAACTATTCATAAGCACAGAGATGAGACTGAGTTTATAAAATATGTTCAAGTTCCATCTTTAAAAAATTGGATCAAAAACATTGAAAGCATGAAAGAAATATTTACTTTATTATATAAAGAATATGATGTACAAACCCTATTGACGCGAAACTTTAATCAAGATTCTTTGGAAAATTTTTTTTGTTGTATACGGAGTCATGGTGTCAGAAATATCTCACCAACTTGTAGCCAATTTTCTAATGCATATAAATCGTTAATTATTAATAATTATACATCACATCATTCTGTTGGTCCAAATTGTGAAAAGGATGGAAATAAATTATTGCAAAATTTAAAATCACTAGTTGTGGAAGGCAATATAAATCACGAAGAAACTTACGATAATTTTTGCTTGGATCCGTTAATTAATGTCTTAAATAAGAATAATGACAGTATAAGCCAGAAAGAATCAAAACAATATGTAGCTGGATATATAATTAAAAAATGTAAACCGATTTTTAAATCTTGCAGAAGGTGCAAAAATGAATTAAGCAACATGATATATCCAGCTACATATATGAAAGGGATTATACAAAAAAAATCATTGTTTTCTCCCAGTGAAGCACTATATCAACATTTAAATAAAATTAATCACATAACACATGCAACATTAAAAGAATCTCCTGTTAATAAAAAAATTAAAAAGAGAATAATGGACCTTGCAGAAATTTTCTGCAATCCATCTTTTTTTACTTGTCCCATACATAAAAATGATTTGATTTTTTTATTAATAATTATATGATATGCTTACTTATAAATAGTCGGTGTACAAATGTTAATCGTATTTTAAAAGGAAAAATGATGTGTTCTGATAACCATGACTTAATAAAATTACAAGCATATACCTATTGTAAAACTCATAATAAATGTAATAAATAACATCTTGTATTTTATTACAGGTTGAAGAACTAATTTTTTCAACATTCCCATTTAAATAAAAAATATCTAAATTTAGATACTTTCTATTCATGCCATCTAGTAGGTGACCACGTAAAGAATCAGCGCCATCTTCAGGGGGGAACTTGTAATTAATAATTTTAAAACCCTCCCGATTATATTAGCTTGTCTATGACTTAGGCTTATCTATGGTGTGCATTCTATAGTCTCTATATAGTTTGTGATCGTGTGTATTGTAATATTTTTGAAAACTCTGGTTTATTGCTGAAAAAGTGAATTTAAAGCTAATGGAAACAGGAATGGCCGTCAGTGAAGTTTGTAGAATTTGTTTATGCGTTAATGTACGCATGTTTGTTCTAAAGAACACCAGTCTCCGAAATTTGTACAAAACATTGACGAACACTTTCGTAAGTTTGTTAATATTTCTTAATTCCAAATTGAAGTTGGGGTAATTTGTTGTTATCGCCGGAAAAATCATTACAACTTGCCTGATAAAAATGTGCTAGAAACTTTTGAATATCTGTGTAGAAGCTTCGCCAGAAACTCAATATAATTTTTGGAATATGCATATTCCAAAATAGGTTGAAAACATATTTTATATAAAATTATTGCATTGGTTTAACGTTAATAATGTGCATTTAAATGGAAATAAAACTAAATGTATTAAATTTACGAAATTGAATGTTAAAAATCTGAATACCAATGATGGGGATGAACAGAGCCCTGTTGAATCCACTGTTTTTCTTGGCATCACTCTCGTCGCAAAGCTTCAGTGGAGCCCCCATATATCCAAACAAGTAAGCAGACTAAGTTCTGCAGCCTATGTTGTAAAAAAGATTAGAGACTTTTTTTTTTCTGTGGCAACCCCGGTGACAAGTTGTAAAATAATTGCTCCCAACTATTTTTAAAAATTAAATATTGTAAATTTATAATATCCACCTCAATTTTGAGTTACAGTTGTTAAATACGACTTATTTGTGTTTGTGATATAAGTAAAAGTCAGAAGTACCTATTTTAATTACATACATTGTGTTTAGTGTTCCAACCAAAAGTAACAGCTGTAACGAACATCGTTTAAACGTATTGTAAGTGTAATTCTTGTTATCCCTTTAACATTCTAAGATTTACCTATTAAGTAAGTATTGTTCTGGATTTCATTTTGAATTATTTACATGATAATTTAATTTGAGATCTGTAAATTAGCTCATACATCTCGACATTTACACTTAATAGTAAAATGAATACACGCAACGCCAAAACGCACTAATTGGAGAACCAACTTCAAATGGCGCTTCAAGAACTTAAGGCGTCAAAGGAGCAGTGTGAGCTGTTATGTAAAGAAAGGGATGACAATGAAAAGGAAATAATAAATATAATAGCTAAAAATACTAAACTAAAAAGTGACATGGTTAAGTTGCATAAAGAATATACATTTGTTACAAAAGAAAGGGATCAACTTCAGAGAACAGTCGATGAGTTTGACCAATGCAGCAAGGAATATAAGGAATCCCTCAAATTAATTGCAGTTACAGTTAAGTGAGGCTAATGAGCATATTGTGCAATTAAAACATTACATAGATAACATGAAAGCATCCCAAACTCAAAGTCTGTTCAACGAGCTCATAGAATCTGAATCTTCTAATTCTAAAGCATTGCAACAAGATATAGAGTGTCTAAATTCAACAATTTTATCACTTAAAAGCTCTCTACAAATTGTATCAAATAAATATGCATCGGCTCAAGATGAGATAAAAGAACACATATTGGCCATGAATGATCTGGTAAAATCATGTAAATATAATGAGGAGCGCTTTGACTCCTTAATAAAAAATCAGAGTGAGTATCAGTGCTCCATACCTGGTTCATCGGGGACAATATGTGTAAATAACAAAATTAACAGTAAGACCTCATTATTTTCACCTACACTCTATGACAGTGCCATGACAAAGGATATAAACTTAAAAAGCAATGTAAATATTAAAAAAAATAAAGTTATTATGTATTGTGATGACATAGGCAAAAATTTGGGCATGATGTTAAATAACTGTTTAAAAGGACATATGATCAGTAATTATTGCATGCCAGGAGCATCCTTTAGTCTTATAATGAATAAAGTTTTAGCTAGTAAATTTTGTCCTAATAGCACATTAATAATTCTTGTTGGGAGAAGAGGCAATGTAAACTAAAATCAATTATTAAAATATATTGATAATCTAAATACTTTAAATGTACATAAAATTATCTTGTTTACATTGCCTTACATACAGGGTTGGCCGCAGGAAAATAAAATAAGATATGATTTAAATTTATTAATGAATAACTTTTCATGTAATAATAATTTAAACTTGACGTTTAATTGTTATAATTATAATAATAGAATTAATTTAATAGATATAAATAATTTAATTAAGAAATTTTTGACTAGTGATAGGTATTACCTATCAAAATATAATTTAAGACAGATAGCAAATGTGCTATCTTATTATATATATATATTAACTCAGCCAAGGACTTGGCTACACAGATATCTGCTTCTTTTGAGCAATGTAATGATTTAATATGCAATTTGGAATCAGTTCCAAGTAATTTAAATTAGAAAATGAGACAATAGAGGTAAGCAGCAGTTATAATAACTTAAATAATATAGAATGTGGCTTACAAATCTTTAATTGTTTAATTGTATGACTCCACAGAAAGATAATGAAAATTGTTTACACCTGGTGCATCAAAATATACAAGGCATGATAGGCAAAGAGTTAGAAATTGAGTTGTTCTTAAATAGCAACAATATTCATATTTTATGTATTACTGAACATTGGTTAAAAGCTTATAATTTTAGGTTTAACTTCAGTAATCACCAGATGGTCAGTTCTTTCAATAGAGATACGGTTTTAAGAGGTGGCTCCTTAATATTAGCTAGTAAATTATCATGTAAAGAACGTAAAGACATTGTGAGCCTCTCTGTTGAGCGAACTGTAGAAATGGCATGTGTTGAGTTTGAGCACCTCATTGTTGTGAGTGTCTACAGACCCCCATGTTGTACATATGATACTTTTGAAAACATTATGGAGAAAAATTTAAGGAAATTAATATATTAACTTTGGCCTCTCAATACATTTATGAAAATGTAATGTATGTACACAAAAATAAAAGTAGTTTTACAAAAATAAGTGATATTCATTCTATAAATACTAGGAACAGACACAAGCTAGTAGTACCAGTTACTCGACTCCATCGAGTCAGTAATTCATTCTTGGGGCGATGTATACGCTTTTACAACAAAATTCCAGAAAATATACAAAGTTTGACCTGCGCAAAGTTCAAAAACTTTATTAAACTAAGTTTGTATAAAAAGGGTTATTATAACATTAAGGAATTTATGGATGATAATAACCCCTGGAAATGAGGTGATCGCTACCAAGCTATTTCTAATTTGTTGTGTTGTTAATTTGTGTAACATACATGATTGTAAGCTGTTATTTAAAAAAAAAAGTCCCACTGGGTTTCTTGCTGGTTCTTCCCAGGACAGAGGTTTTTTCGAACCAGTGGTAATCAAACAAAAGAGTGACTTTCAATAAGTATTATTTATAATCTATATTGAATAAAAAAGTTTCTGTTTCTGTTTGTTTCAAGAGGTCTTACTAGTGTCGAGACAGCTAGATTAGTTTATTTCAGTTATTTCCATAGCATAATGTCTTATGGTAATTTGCTATGGGGAAAAGCGGCTGATTCAGAAACTATTTTTGTTTTACAGAAGAGGGTCATTAGACCTATTTAAAACCTAAAACCGAGTCTCTTAGAGATACATTTAAATAAATAAATATATTATCTTTGGCCTCTCAGTATATTTACGAAAATTTAATGTATGTTCACAAAAACAAAGGTAGTTTTAGTAAAAAAAGTGATATACACTCTGTAAACACTAGGAACAAACAAGCTAGTGATGCCAGTTGCTCACCTACACAGAGTCATTAATTTATTCTTGGGGCAATGTATACACTATTACCACAAGGTCCCGGAAAGTGTACAGGCTCTCTATTACTAACTTCAAATGTTTTGTTAAGTCAAAACTGTATAAGTAGGGTTATTATAGTATAAATGAATACATAGTTGATAATAGCTCCTAGGAATGAGGTGGTCACTTCTAAGCAGTTTCTAAAATACATTTTGTAAATAGTTTGTACAACCATTGATGTAAAATTTACTTTAAATAAAAAGTCCCGCTGGGTTTCTTGCTGGTTCTTCCTAGGACAGAGGTTTTTTTTTTTGAACCAGTGGTAAAGTAAAAAATGACTTTCAATAAGAATTACACATGTGATCTAAATTGAATAAAAAATTATTCTATTTTATATTTTAGTATCATTTCTGGTATTATTATTATTATTTGCCATAGTTGCCATGCTAAGGAGGCTGGTTGGCAACTGCAGTTTTTTTATTATTCTGACCTGTTGTGAAGAAAATGCTACTGCCCATATCCTTATGAGATAAAATAATCTATTTTTTAGATAACCAAACCCACCTGGAATTTACTTCATTATATTAAATTAAAAGGTTAAAACTGCTAGGGGATGTATATTATTATTAACTTCCATTTGAAACTAAGTGACAATGGCTTAATAGTTAAGGGTGTAAACTGCAAACTCGAGAAAGTATTAAGTTCAAATCTGCCATTTATCTATTGTTGTATTGCGCAAGCATTTTCCATTTACTTGGAGCAAATAAGAGAAGTCTTTGTAATGTTAATAGTGATGCTAGTAGTTAAAATTTTAAAGTAGGTTTAGTAAGATTGAATTTTGAAAGCCTCATACTGGTAAGCAAATTGTTGAGTGGCCCTCCACTGGATAGTGGCAATCTGGCAACACAGGAAATCGATGGATGTAGGTGGCTTAAGACTGTGTTGTTGCAGTGACGATGATTCACTAGGTGGTACAACATTTTTCTGCCTAGAAGTCTGTCTGAATAATTATCATCCT